CCCCGCCGCCTTCCCATTGGCGGACGCTTGTGTTTTGGCTGCAGGCGGCGCTGCTATTGGTGGGTGAGCCTCGGGGAGGGCGGGGAGATCGCTGATTGGGTGCGTGGTGGCCTGCTTTCGGGAGGCGCTGTGACGTCACGTTCATTGATGGGGTTCATTGATGGCGCGGGGGAGGCTCCGCGCCCGCTCCGGGCGGAGAGACCCGCACAGGCTGGAGCCAACGGGGTGAGGGTCAAGAGGCAAAGTGCGGGTCCTGCACCTGGGCCACAGCAACCCCTGCAACGCTCCAGGCTCGGGAAGAGCGGCTGGAAACTGCTCATGGACCAGGAGCTGGGGGCGCTGAGTGATGGAGCTGAACGGGAGCAGCTTGTGCCCAGGGAGCCCCCAGCATCCTGGCCTGGATCAGCACCCGTGCGGCAGCAGGGCCAGGGCAGGGATTGTGCCCCTGGTGAGGCCGCACCTCGAATCCTGTGTTCAGCTCTAGGCCCCTCACTCCAAGACCTTGTGGTGCTGGAGAGGGGCCAGAGAAGGGAATGGAGCTGGTGCAGGGCCTGGAGCACAGGGGTGATGGGGAAGGGCTGAGGGACCTCGGGGGGTCAGATGGAGAAGAGAAGGCTCAGGGGGGACCTGATGGCTCCCTACAAGTGCCTGAGAGGAGGATGGAGCCAGGAGGGGCTGGGCTCTGCTCCCAGGGAGCAAGGGATGGGACAAGAGGAAACGGCCTCAAGCTGCACCAGGGCAGGTTTAGATGGAGCTGAGGAACAATTCCTGCCCCAGAGGGTGCTCAGGCATTGGAACAGGGCAGGGCTGCAGTCACCGTCCCTGCAAGTGCTCACACAGCGTGGAGACGAGGCCTCAGTGCCATGGGTTAGGGGTGGCCTTGGCAGGGCTGGGGAACGGTTTGATTTGATGAGCTTAGAGGTCCTTTCCAGCATGGTTGATTCTGCGATTCTGGGGTGTCCCCTATTAACTGAGACCAGGGGACTGTGCCTGGAGGGGTGCGGGCAGGCCCCCAGGTTTGGGGTTTTGGGGGTTGCTTTATAATACTGTGTTTAAAACCCTGGTGACCTCAAGGCTCAGTTGCAGTGTGCGAGGGTGAGAGCCCCCGAGGGAGTCCCCCCCACTGCTGGGTTTGGGGAGCCAGGGGACTGGTGCGATGCGTGCCTGGAACATGGGAAAAGTGCCTTCTAAACCCAAATGAATGAACCGCGGACTTTGCCCATGGATGGTGTGAAAACATTGAGCTGGAAAGCTCCGTTGGGGCTTTGGATGTGATGGGGTGAGCGGTGGGCGAGGAGAGGGAAGGAAGAGGTGGAGGGATGGAGGCTCGAGGCAGCTGCTTGCCCCCAGGAGCCAGTGTATGAGGGCCCCAGTGGAACACTTGTGGGGTGCCAGTGGCCGTGTGGATGTGGGGCAGGCAGGCAGTGGGCAAACTGTGCCAGGTGGAGGTATGGAAAGAGCAGTTCCAGAAGTGGGGTTCCCAAACCCGCTTGTCTCCTGCTTGCAGGCCTGGAGAGCACCCAGGACCTCCTGCTTGCCAAAAACACCCACATCAGCATCAGGCTGAGTTAGCAAAGCTGTGAGCAGCCGGCCCTGGGTACAGGATGCCTGTAAAACCCATGGGAATGCTGCTTATGAGCCTTCAGTGGTCTCATGCAAGCAACAGGGACCTGAGGCTGCGATAAAACAGTGTTAGTGGAATCTGGGAGACCAGGCAGGACCTTCAGAGCCTGGCCTGGCTGCAGGGCCACAAGGCTGCTGCACACACCTCGGAATTCCCACCTGGCAAGCCAGGTGGTGGAAAAGCCCCTTTTGGGGCAGGATTTGCAGGGAGGAAGATGCTGCGAGGGCTGGAGCAGCTCTGCTCTGGAGCCAGGCTGAGAGAGCTGGGCTGGGGCAGCCTGGAGAAGAGAAGGCTCCTGAAGGGGAGACCTCAGAGCAGCTCCAGTGCCTAAAGGGGCTGCAGGAAACCTGGAGAGGGGCTTGGGACAAGGGCCTGTAGGGACAGGCCAAGGGGAATGGCTTTAACCTGCCACAGAGGAGACTGAGATGAGCTCTTAGGCAGAAGCTCTTCCCTGTGAGGGTGCTGAGGCGCTGGCACAGGGTGCCCAGAGAAGCTGTGGCTGCCCCATCCCTGGCAGTGTTCAAGGGCAGGTTGGACACAGGCTTGGAGCAAGCTGCTCTAGTGGAAGGTGTCCCTGCCCGTGGCAGGGGTTGGAGCTGGAGGAGCTTTAAGGTCCCTTCCAACCCAACCCAGTCAGGGGTTCTGGGATTCGCCTTTGCCCCTTGCTGGTCTGATCCTGCCCGAGATCCTTTCCCATCCTCCCTGTGCTGCCACCCCACTGGGACCCCATGCAGGGTCTGGGCTCCCACTTCCAGCCAGGAGCTGCTCCAGGAACCAGCCTGGGGGCTGATGCCACATTAGGGCTCAGCACTCACTAATGAAGGGGCCACCCCCTCTGAAGCCATTGCAGGGCTGCACGGGGCTGAGGTCAGAGCCCTGGGCTGGGTTTGTCAGCACATCCCAGTGACTGTGGAGGAACTGGAGCACCGGGTCTATGGACAAACATTTGCTGCTCAGTCTCCCTTGAGCAAACTGCTGTGCCTTCACGTGCCTCAGTTTCCCCCTTAGCACGAGGAGGCAGGAGCAGGACCCTCTTTCCCTGCCGAACACACACCAAATCCCACAGCTTGAGCGCTGCAGCCTTGCATCTTGCCCAGCTGCGGGTGCGTTTTGGGGTTAAACATTGCTATTTCCCCATGGATTGGATTCCCCCTCCCCATGGATTGGATTCCCCCTCCCCATGGCCCTGCTGGGCTCGGTCCTGCTTTTACGCGTGCAGGATGTGGCCAGGCCTGGGAGGACCCTGCCCTCGAAGCCGGAGCATCGCCGGTTCCTGCCTGCGCTCCCGTGCTCCACTGCGGCACTGTCCTACAAAACCCTGTGCTGCAGCACAGGCACAAAACCCACCCCGCGAGCTGTGCGTGCACACGGGGCTGTGATCTGCGCGGGGCTAACCTGGAATTACGATGTGCACTAACCCCTGCAGCGGGCTGTGTGCTGCTCCAGCTCCCAGGCTCGCGTTTCCCACTGGGTGCTCTTCCGACGATCCATGTGCGCAACGGGCTCCCCAGAATGTGTTGGGGTGAGCAGGGATCAGCCCCCAAGGGCTGAAACAAGGCTCCTGGTGGATGTGGCCCTCGGCTCCTCTTTGGCGAGTGCTGGCCCCCAGCAGGGCTGTGATGTCCAGCAGTGTGGACACTGGCACTGCGGGTGACCCTGGGGCTGCGGGGCCTGGTGTGATGGCCACAGGCTGAGAAGTGGGGTACAAAGTGCCCCTGGGTGATGGTGGCTGCTCCTTGGTTTGGCTTTTCTCAGCCAAGAGATGAGGGAGGGTGAGGGATGAGTGGTCCCTCTGTGAGGGGGGAGCCCCGGGGGTGGCTCCAGGACACGGGGCAGCGGTTGCCTCCCCGCACGTCTCCTGGTTGATATTTATAGCACTCGAGTTATCAACTCGAATCAAAATCATGTGATGCTCCACTAACTTCCACTGCAGGACTACTTAATCACCACGGTTTAAGTGGGCATCCGGAGGGTCCCTCCTTCACCTTCATCTCCAAGGGGAAGATGTGAAGGTGCTCCTCAGTGGCATAATGCTGGGGGCCCTGGGGGAAGCTGGGGTGCACTGGAGTGGGCAGGCAGAGGCTGCTCCCGGCAAGCGCAGCAGAGCTGGGAAGGGGCGGGATGGAGGCGATGGAGGTGGGCACTGATAGCGGGGTTAATTCCACCCCCTTCTGAGTGCTGTGCAGCCCCGCAGGGGTCCCAGGCAGGCCCTGGGGGTCCCCATGGTGGGCTTGCTGCTCAGTGTCACCAGTGGTGGGGCTGGGCTGAGGCGGTGACACCGGGGGGGGGGCAGGTGAAGGGTATAGGGGGGTGACACCGGCGGTGGCACCGGGGGCACGCGGGTGCTATGGGGTAGGAGCAGGTGTCAGCTGAGGCGGGGGACACCGGGCTGGGGTGATCCCGGGGACTTGTCCCCCAGCCCCACGGCATCCCCGGGGCGGGGCGGGGCGGGGCGGGGGAGCCCGGCCCTGCCCGGCCCCGCATTGGCGCAGCCCCGGCGCTAGCGCGGAGGCGGTACCGGGCGCGGCGCAGAGCGGAGGATGCTGCGGGTGGGGGCCGCCGCCGCCAGCCTCGGTGCCGGTCCCGGTGCCGGTCCCGGGCGGGAGGGAGCCCCGGCGCATCCCGCCCGCTGAGCCCGGCCCGGCCCGGCCATGGGGGCTCTGACCAGCCGGCAAGACGCAGGCGTGGAGGAAGTGGATGTCCCCGCTAATTCCGTCTACAGATACCCCCCGAGATCCGGTGAGACCCCGGGGTGGGGGGGGGAATCCCGCGTCCCGGTGCCGCCACTGGGCTGCAGGGGAAAGGGGCAGCGAGGGGAGCTGGGCACGACCTTGCTCCGGTGGGGGATGTCCCTGCAGCCCCCGAAGCAAACCCCGACCGCAGGCAGCTGTGGGGCACCCTGAAATTACCCGTGTGGTGCTCGTGCGGTGCGGTAGGGATGGGGTCACCCCTGGGGTCCCCTCCCTGGGTGCCGCTTTGTCAGCCGAGCCGCACCCCCAAACTTGGCTGAGTTGATGCTAAATGTCTTTAATAAATTATTATTATTATTAATAATGATAATTTCGGCCGTTGTCTGCAGCGCGGGGCTGGAGCTGCTTTTGTAGCCGGTTGCTCCGGCGCTGGCTGCTTAGGGAAAACCTGGGTTTAAATTCCCGGGAGGCTGGGTGGGAGGGATTGGAGGGGATCCCTCCTTCCCAGGGCCCTGCCCCAGAGCAGCACCCCAGCCTCTGCCCTGGGGCGCCTTCCCCAAGCTCCTCTCCTGCCCGCGTTGTCGCTCCCGGCCCTGTCTCAAACCTTGTGCGTGACCTTGGGAAATCCGTCCCTCCCCTCCAGGCCTCGGTGTTCCCTGCAAAGGGCCGGGATGAGGCGGTGCCGGGTGGGGGGGTTGTGGTGGGGAGCGGAGATGGAGCCGGGTCCTTGGGTGGGCAGCGCTTCCCACCTCCAAAACACCCCCATTTCCCAGGATGCTGACCTGGAGCACGGCATGTGCGCAGGGATTGCCACAGGATCCTTGCGGCACGGGCTATTATTAATAGAGAACTATTTTGGTAGCTAATAGGATAAAGTAAGCCCTTGGCTTGTTAGTGCTGTGATAAATGACTTGCTAATTACAAATAAAGACCTCCTCAGGAAGCACTGCAGCCAGCACAACCCATGTTCCTGTGCTTGGCTTGATTTATTACTGTTATTTGAATTTGAAGCTGAAATGGGCTGGCACATCCATGGAGATGCAGGTTAACCAGGACACTGCGGGGTGGAGATGGCTGATCCTCAGCAGTGGGGCTCCCCCTGCTCCCCCTTTTCCATGCATTCAAGGCCTTTGTCACCTTGATGCTGGCTGAACCTGGACCACCACATCCTGGGTTTGCTCTTTGCAGGGGCTGTGGCTCTGTGCATTAAGGGGCTTTGTCTTGAGCTCCATTCTTATTTAGGGGCTCTTGAACTGCCTGGGTGTGGAGGGGTCAGTGCTGTGCAGCTCTAGGGGAGCAACTGCACCCAGCTGAGCACTTCCAAACTCATCTCAGCTGCAGAGGACACGGAGCTGATGCTTGGCTCTGGCTGTCACGGAGAAGCCCGGGCTCTTGGGGTGCTCAGTGGGGCTGGTCCCCCCGATGGGATGAGAGCAGAGCTAGGGGGACGGTCCTGGGGTCCTCAGGGAGAGGTGCCCGGGTGCCCTGGGGTGCGCCAGGGCAGGATGGTGACCGCGGGGGATTATGGCTCTTAATCCAAGCGGGGATTTGCCTTTGGCGCTGCTGGCAGCCGAGGGGACGTGCTGGGAGCAGAGCCGGTTCCTCCCTGGCAGCGGCGCTCCTCTTGCCTCGAATGCCGCATGGAAACAGCCACTGGCTTTGGGAGCGTGGCCCTGGGGCGTCCGTGGAACCCCAGGCTATTCCCTTCTCTCCTTGCAGATGTGGCTTTGGCTGCTGGGCTGCAGGCTCGCTGTTGGTGCAGCCCATGGGAATAGGGCAGCTATGTCTTGTCCCAAGCGAGCATCTCCCCTGCATCATCCCGGGGTCCCATCCAGGCTGGGGGCAAATGGGATTAGTTAAACCAGCATTTTGAAGCAAAGGCTGGGATTTGCTTTGGTGATTCTAATCTTGTGCTGGTAAAGGCAAGAAGGAGGAGCAGAAGGGGGCTGTTTATGGAGCCTGGCTTGGGGCAAGTCCCTGGAGTCCTGCCCCTGTCCCTGGCTGAAGTTGGCACTGGGAGGAGAGAACAGGAGCAGAGCAAGGGGCTTGTCCATGCAGTGACACCCCGGTCCCGGGGTTCCCATGCCAGGGTGGTGGCACTGCCATGGCACAGGGAGCAGCTCCGGGGCTGTGATGGGTGAGGGCTGACGCAGCAGAGCCTGGCTGGGGTTTGGCTTTGCCTCCAGCTGCCTCTGGCTGCCTGTGTTAGAGTGCAGTTAAATAAGCCTCAGTGTGCCAGCTCACCCATGGGGTGCTCCGGGGCAGGAGCACCCAGTGGTGGCTCAGGAGGTGATGCAGGATGCATGTCACCGAGTGCCAGAGCCATGGGCACACACAGCGCGCACCAGGCTCTGTGCCCATGGGGTCCTTGTCTCTCTTGGGGCATCCAGGCAAGGCTCACCCCTGGAACTCATGGGGCAAAGGGGCTGACAGTGTCATTGGCAGTGGCTGGTGTCAGATGTGTCCTGCTGCAGGACACACGTGGATTGCCAGGAGCCTCAGGCCGCCTTGGTTTATTGCTTCTTCCCAGCAGCAGCCCTGGTCAGCCCTTCCCGCATGCTCTTTTGGCCCCTGGGGTTTAAGATCTCATTAAAGCCTGGCTTTCCCTTGGCGATGTGACCATCCTGGATGGGCTTTTCCTTCCCCTGGGGACAGGTGTTGGTCAAGGCTTTATAACTAGCCAATAATAAGGTGGCTGTGCCTGGGAAGGTGCCTCTCTCCTCTGCCACCCGCTGTGCCCATGGGGCCACCGGCACCCCAGCGCACAGAGCCTGAGGCTCCTGTTTAATGGTGAAGCTTCTGGAGGACCTCCCCTAGGCTGCCTGCACGCAGGGATGCTCGCTGGCAGGGCGATGGGGTGGCAGTGGTGCGTTCCTCACCTGCTCCCATCCTATGGCAGCCCCCAGCACCCCCAAACCGTGGCTGGAGCCATCTCCGAGAGCCCCTGCTCCATTTTCCAGCTTTCCCCAGTGCTGGAGGAGCTTTCCTGCAGGTTTCAATGCCGTGTCCCCACCTCCTGCTCTCACCCCCAGGCAGTGCCAGGAGAAGCTGCGGTTGGCCCCGCGGTGCCCCGGCCGTGCCGCTGCCGGCAGCCCTGCAGGCACTTTGCTCGTGGCTTTTCTCTTTCCACGTGGCCACGTCCTTCCCTGGGGAGCTGCCTATAAATTATGTACGTGGAAAATGGGACCAGGAAGCAGCAGGCATCAATAATAGATGGTTGATGGTTGCTGCATCCAGGCATCCCTGCGCCGTGGGGTAAAACGCTCCAGCCCTTCTCATCCCTCCTGCTCCCGTGTTACATCCCTGCTCCCCCTCCCCTCGCGCTTTGCCTCGGGGTTGGTTCTGAAATGCAGGATTAAGGCCTGATCCAGCCCTGGGCAGCTGCTGCATCTGCTGGAAGCCAACTGCAAGCTCTGCCTTCAGTCCACACAAGCAGAGCTGCAGCCCAGGCTTGAGCTCCTTTATCCAGAGCTTTAGTTTTGGGGTGTCCCTGGGGGGCTATGGATGACTCCGTGCTCTTGGGTTTGGGGGTTGTGTAGGCTGGGCCCCATCCCCATGGCCAGCGGGATGCAGTGTGGTGCCCATCCTACGTTCATTGCCTCTCCTGACTCCTGGTGCTTCTTCTCTCCCCATCCCTGTTCTCCCCTCCCTTTCCCTTCCTTTTCCCACCTCGAGGAGAAGTCCAGACCCTCCTGCCCCAGCTGGCCCCTGTGGGGCTGCTCCCAGCTCTGGGGACAGGACATGCCCGTGTTCTGGCTCTGTGCTTTACCCTGCAAGGGGAGAAGGGTCCCTGGCCGTTGCCTGGTGTTCACCAGGGCAATGTGAGCACTTTGCAGGGGGGGGATTGAGCTTCTAGAGGTTCTACAGCCCCCCCAAATCCTCCTTCCTTCAGGTGAGCCCTTCCTAGGGAAGGCTGTGGGCTGAGAACAGACAGAACTGGGTTCAGGCGTGCTCTGCCCAGTGGCAAGGGTCTGGCTGTGGTCACGCTGCCTTGGCTGCACATGTGGTCTGTGATGCTGGGCAGGAGCAGCCCTGCCTGCGTGCCTGGTCCATGCTGCCCCTTCCCGGCTCCCCGGGGGCTCCCAGGGCTTTCAGTGCCAGCACCAAAGGTCCCTGGTTGAGGGTTGAGGTGACCGTGGGTGGCTCAGGCCAGGCCGGGGCTTGCAGGGGTGTCCTGGGCAGGGAAAGGGGCGCAGGGGAGGGACACAGCCCTGGGTGTGAGCCTGCTCCCATCACATCCCTGCATCAGCTCTCCCCACCCCGGCTCCATCCTCCCAGAGTTCAGCCACTGGAGCCCGGGCAGGGTCAGGATCGGGGGGGGGATGCAGCAGGGAGGGGTCGCTTCCTGGCCAGCTCCTCCTTCCCCTCCACCTGCTTTGTGTCTGCTCAGCCCGAAAGGCTCCAGCGAGGTGCCCCTGGGGACAAAGCCACCTCTGAGCCGTGGCTCGGTGCTGCTCCATTGCCCGGCTGAAGGCCGGTCCTCGCCCTGCGCTCAGCCCGTTTCTGTGTTTGCTTTGCAGGGAGCTACTTTGCCAACCACTTCATCATGGGCGGCGAGAAGTTCGACTCCACTCATCCCGAGGGATACCTCTTCGGGGAGAACAGCGACCTCAACTTCCTGGGGAACCGGCCCGTGGTGGTGGGCACCGGGGACACAGACGTGCCCCTTCCCAAAGTGATAGTGACTCTGTGTGTGTGTGTGTGTGTGTGTGTGTGTGTGTGTGTGATGGTGGGAGGCTGCTGGCTGTCACCCCCAAGCACGCCTGGGGTGGCCCAAGTGGATTCTCTGATGTCTAATATGAGGGTTGGCTGCTTGCTGCAGCCTGTCCTCCACTGGGCACTAACCCAAGTCTGCCTGCATTCACTCCACAGCAATGTAATCGCAGAATCCCAGCCTGGTTTGGGTTGGAAGGGGCCTTAAAGCTCCTCCAGTTCCAACACCTTCCACTAGAGCACCTTGCTCCAAGCCCCTGTGTCCAACCTGGCCTTGAACACTGCCAGGGATGGGGCAGCCACAGCTTCTCTGGGCACCCTGTGCCATTGTCACTGCTCTGTCTCCTGTGCAAGGGGTGAACGGGTTTGCGGATGGTTGGGAACAGGCTGGGTGATTGTGTGACTGTGGGTGCTGCCCCATGCGGCTCCGTGCTGTGGGTCATTGGAGTTGCTCATACTCTTCCAGCCCACAAGGGCTGCTTGCACACACAAACCTGCCAGCTTGAACACAGCAGCTGGTGAAGAAGATGGTGAAGGGTCAGGGTTCATTTAACTCCATTCTTGCTCTCTGAGAGCCCCTTTACTTAGGGGGGCTTTTGACAAGGACAGGACAAGTTCAAGGACACTTACAGCTTTTGGCCATGAAATATGATGGCACACCATCTGCTTTCAGCTCCTTTTCTAGCAGGGATAGTCCCTCAACCGTAGAGAGCACAAAGTGTTGTCAGGTTGGACTCTGATAGTCTTTGTGTGATGCTGAAGAGGTACCAGAACGACCACAGAGATGCTGCAAGGGCTGGAGCAGCTCTGCTCTGGACCCAGGCTGAGAGAGCTGGGCTGGGTCAGCCTGGAGAAGGCTCCTGAAGGGGAGACCTGAGAGCAGCTCCAGTGCCTGAAGGGGCTGCAGGAAACCTGGAGAGGGGCTTGGGACAAGGGATGTAGGGACAGGCCAAGGGGAATGGCTTTAACCTGCCAGAGGGGAGACTGAGATGAGCTCTTAGGCAGAAGCTCTTCCCTGTGAGGGTGCTGAGGCGCTGGCACAGGGTGCCCAGCCCTCCAAGCCCCCTGTGAGCACTGGGTGGGCAGAGGCAGTGCTGGGCTCTCCATCCTCTGCACTCCCCCAGAGTCAGCGCTCGGGTTCCCTCTGCAGCAGCGAGCACTGGAAACCCTCTTGGTTCAGCAGCAGCCTCTGCACTGCCCAGTGAGCAGGGCCCGGGTCAGACACCGGCAGCAGAAGCTCTGGGGAAGGACAAGGAGCAGCTTGGGAGCAGCAGGAAGAGTCAGTGCAGCGCTGGTGACTGAACTGCATCGCTCTGGTTCAATCACCAGCACCCCTGGGCTGCAGAGCTGCCACCAAGGTCCCATCTCCCTGGGGACCCGGGGTGTTTTGGGGCTGGGCTTCCAGGTCAGGCCAGTTTGGGGGGCTCAGGGAGGGGCTGGGGAGGGTCCATGTTGTTTCTGGTCCAAGCCTGTGTCCAGGCACCGTTGTTTGGGCATCTCTGATGCCACCTCCGAGACTTGGCATGATGCTGCTTGGCTGTGATGCTTTCGTGTCCTGCCTGCTGTGGGAGCCCTGGCTGGGCTGGAGGCGTTGGATGTGTCCAGTGCTGTTTGGTGGGGGTTTGTTTGGGTTCCTTGGCTATAAGGAGCCATGGAAAACGGTGTCGCAGTGTCCCAAGTCCCCTCTGAGCTGAGCCCCGTGTCAGGGCTGCTCACAGCCGCGCTGCGCAGAGCACCCCGAGGCGGTGCAGGCTCTCTCCTCCATGGATAAGCTGGATTTTCCAGCTGGGAACAGGTTCCCAAGGGGCTGGGAAGGGCGTTGCAGGCTTGAGCGGCTGCCACCAGGCTGGCACAGCCCTGCAGGGGCCGAGGAGCAGGGAAGCTCTTGCGGCACCCGCTGGGTTCCCCTGCCCCTGCAGACCTGCCTGGCTCCGCTCGTGTGGAACCCTAAGGGAGGGCTTGGGGGGTGGTTTCAACTGTAGCAGAAGGGGCCTGGACCAGACGTTGCTGTAGCTCATGGACGATGTTCTTAAGGGTAACGGTTGCAGTGAGGGGGTTTTCCTGTTGTTTTTCAGCTTGATTTAAATTGAGGAGATGCAAAACCTCCTCCAACCGCCCCTTTGTGATGTCAGGTCAGGCTTGCAGCAGCTAATTCAATAAACCCCTCAGTTCTTCCCCCAGAAAGAGCCCACACGTGGGTGTGAAGGAGCCCAATGGTGACGTTTCTGCAGCGCAAAATTTGCCTGCGGCACTTCCCCATCCTGCCCAGCACCCAGGGGACCCCTTCCTGCATCACCCACCCCTGGGTGCTGTGGTGCAATGGGGCCGGCACTCAGGGCTGCTTTGGGTATGGCTGGGCTGGAAGCAAGAGGTTGGATTGAGCAGGGGATCGTGACATGGCTCAGCTCCAGCCCGAGGCCTTTTCTCACTTGCTCCCTTCCAGCTGCAAGGTGGGATTCTGCAGGTGCACATTAACAGGTTCATTAACACCAGGTTAATGACTGAGCAGGGGCAAGCCTGAGGGGCTGTGGGTTCACCTTCAAAGCTTCTGGTGCCATCAGCAGTGCTGGGGCTGGCCCAAGCTTTAACCCGCTTTTCAGTGCCACCGGTGGGAGCAGCGCTGTGGGATGGTGGGACACGGGAGGTGATGCTGGGTGGTGGAGGAGGGATGGGGCAGGCCTGTGCTTGTGCTGCCTGGTCGTGCCAGCTGTCTGTTGCATCCCGTCCCATCCCATCTCATCCCTCTGAGTCGTGGACAGGTCCCCCAGCCCCATCCATCCTGCTCTGCAGGGCTCTGGGCCCAGGGCTGGTGCTGATGGATTTGGGGATGGGGAAGGTGCTGATGGATTTGGGGATGGGGAAGGTGCTGATGGATTTGGGGATGGGGAAGGTGCTGATGGATTTGGGGATGGGGAAGGTGATGATGGATTTGGGGATGGGGAAGGTGCTGATGGATTTGGGGATGGGGAAGCTGATGATGGATTTGGGGATGGGGAAGGTGATGATGGATTTGGGGATGGGGAAGCTGATGATGGATTTGGGGATGGGGAAGGTGCTGATGGATTTGGGGATGGGGAAGCTGATGATGGATTTCCCACGCGAGGGCGCCAGGGCCATGGGAAACCGGCACTTCGCTCCCCGCAGGGGCCATCTGCAGTTCGGTCTTGTCCCCTCAGTATCGGGGTCCAGTGGGTGCTTCACTACCTGAGCTGGGGGTGATGTGGGGGCCCAAGGGGACCCAGGCAGGCTGGCGTGGTTCCCATTCCCTCTCCCAAGGCAGCAGTTGAGCCCTTTGTCTTGTGAGCATCTGTCATCCCTGATGGCACCCGATGCCCTCCTGGCACACGGTGACAGCTCACCAAGGAGCTGGGCCTTCATCCCGGCCGCTGTGTCTCCAATGCGTCTTTGTGTTGTCCCTTCATGGGGCTTATCCTGCCTGGGAGATGGAGGGGAGGGCGATGGGTCCTGCACCCCTTCCCCAGTGCCCTCCTCTGGGCGGCTGCAGTGCCAAGGAGGGGGTGTCCCTGGCTGCCACCGGGTCCCCTCTCCCCAGCAAGCCCTGTAGCCCCTGTGCGGGTGGGCAGGAGGGACCAGGAAGGACGAGGTCACCCTGGAGGATGCCAGGACCCCTCTGCCTGTGGTGCTGCTGCCTGGTCCTGCCTGGTCACCCCTTTGCCTCCCTGATCCGGGCATGGCAGAGACCCCACCACCCCATCCCCATCCACCCCAGGGGCAAACAGGGACTCTGTGTCTGCTCCTTGGCTGTTCTTGTTCTGGAGCTTCAGCCTCCCCCTGCCCAGCCCCGTCCAGCAGCTCCACACTGCACCAAGAGCTTAAAACACACCAGCATCAGCCTGCCTGCCCTGTGCCCGCATCTCACTCACCCTCCAGCCAAAGGGACAAGGAACAGCCCCTTTGTGCATGTCCCAGCAGTGAAACCGTCCCCTGCAAGGGGCTTGGGGCTTGCTCTTTGCAGAGGGATGTCCCTGTCATCACACTGCCTGGGACCCAAGTGCCAGCGGGAGCTGCGGGTCAGCACCCATCAGGCTGTACAGGCCACGCTGGGTCCCTGCTTACAGGTGCTGGGTTGGGGATGGGGGATCCAGGACAAGGTCCATGGCTGCTGTACCCCGCTGTGTGTCTGCCTTCACCGGTGTCTCTCTCGTCCTAGTTCCCTTACGCTGCTCCACCTCCTCAGGAACCCGTGAAGACCCTCAGGAGCTTGATCAACATCCGCAAGGACACCCTGCGCCTTGTCAAGTGAGTCCTGTGGGGACAACAGGGATGGGCACCCCATGAGCTGTGGGTGGGCAGGGTCCGGCTGGGTGCTCCAGGGGATGCTGAGCACGGGGATGCTGAGCACGGGGATGCTGAGCACAGGGATGCTGAGCACAGGGATGCTGAGCACGGGGATGCTGAGCACAGGGATGCTCGCACCGTGGATAGAGGGGATGAGCTTTTGCTGTCCAAATGTGCCCCATCCGCTCGCAGCTCGGGTGCTGGTGCTGGCTGCCTCTGGGATTAAAGGAGCTTAGTGCTGCCTTTGAAGTGCTTTTTGTTCCTCCCCCACCTTCCAAAGGCTTTGCTGGAGGGAGGCTGGGACAGGAGATGTGGGATTGCAGCTGGAATCTGCTGCAGCATTTCCCGGTCCGCAGGCTGGGCTTTGCCCAGGGAAGCTGTGGCTGCCCCATCCCTGGCAGTGTTCAAGGCCAGGTTGGACACAGGGGCTTGGAGCAAGCTGCTCTAGTGGAAGGGGTCCCTGCCTGTGGCAGGGGTTGGAGCTGGAGGAGCTTTAAGGTCCCTTCCAACCCAAACCAGGCTGGGGTTCTACCACTTGGGGCACTCTGGACCCTCCTGCTGTGCCTCAGTTTCCCTTGGTGGATGGGGAAGCCCCTTTTGGGGCCACTGGTGCCAAGAGCAGCCTTGTGCCAGGGGCTCAGTCCTGGGGCACCCTGAGCCATGCCTGGGATGTGCCCATCTCCCGCACCCCCTGTGCTCCCCAGGTGCTCAGAGGAGGTGAAGACCCCGGGGGAGGAAGTCAGCAAAGCCAAGGTGCGCTACAACGTGGAGTTCACCTTCGACACGGACACCCGCGTGGCCATCACCATCTACTACCAGGCCAGTGAGGAGTTCCACAACGGGGTGGCGAGGTGAGGAGCCTGTGCCCCCCCCCATGCCCTGTGTGTGGCTCCTCCTGATGGACACGGACCCTTTCCTCCCTGGAGCGCTCCCCCATCACATTGCTGAGGGCAGAGCGGGTCCCCACCTCCCCTGGCTTCCACCTCCTTCCCTGTCCCATCCTGCCCCTCCTGGTCCCCACCAGCTGGGCTGCAGAGTCCCCTCCTGTCCCGTGTTGGCTCCTCTGGGGTTATTTTAACCCTTCTTAGGACTTAGCTCAGCCCCAAAGGCATCCACAGGGGATGAGATGTGAGCCCCCCCCCCCTTTCCCATCTTCCCAGCATCCCCATGATCCGAGGGGACCCTGACTCTGTCCTCTCTCCACGGCACAGCTACATCCCCCGGGACTCGAGCCTGCAGTCCGAGACGGTGCACTACAAGCGGGGGGTGTGCCAGCAGTTCTGTGTCCCCTCCCACACCATCGACCCCTCCGAGTGGAGCGAGGACGAGGTGGGTCCCACCGGTGGCATCACCCATGGGGTCCGGGTATGGTTGTGGATGCGGGGTGAAGCCTCCATCCCTGCTCCATCTCACCCAGCCTCTCCTGCTGTCTCCCTCCAGCTGGGCTTCGACCTGGACCGGGAGGTGTACCCCATGGTGGTGCAGGCGGTGGTGGATGAAGGAGAGGGTGAGGATGGGGTTCCTTGTGTGGGGTTGGCTTGTCCGGTGGCAGGCTTTGGGATGCCACCGCAGGGCAGAGCCTCCTGCCTGTCCTTGATGCTGCCATGGCTCTGCCCATCCCCTAAGCCCTGTGCATCCCTCTGTGTCTTGCAGAGCACAGCGGGCACTGCCACGTGCTGCTGGCCACCTTTGAGAAGGTAAGTGCCGCGCTGGGACCATCCTCATCCTCCTCCCGTCTCACCCAGCGGGCGCAAGAGCTCAGAGGAGCCCTGCAGGGCTCAGGATGGTGCTGCTGGGATGGGGCTGCTTTGGGGCTGCTCCTGAAATTCTGGGACTAGCCCCTAATATAAGCATCACTTTTGAGGTGTTCGGTCTCACCCCTCATCTTCCTTCCTCCAACAAGTCTCCAGCCTTGGATGTGAAATCCCAGCTTCCTGGTCCCGGGTGTCAGGAAACTGCTGCAGAAGGGGATGGTTGGGAACAGGGACTGCTCCAGGGTGGGTGCAAAGGGGTCCCTGGGTGCTGAGCCCCGGTGCCACCCATGTGCTCTCCTCCCTCCAGCACAGTGATGGCACCTTCTGCGTGAAGCCCCTCAAGCAGAAGCAAGTGGTGAGTGTCCGGGTGTCCCGGGGTGGTGGCAGCTCCTGCCCTGCGCACCCCAGGGTGACGAGGGGCTTTGAGGGGCAGCAACCCCAGTGTGGGCAGTGGCTGCCCCTGCTCCTGCCTCCCAGGAGCTTTTCCAGTGCAATCCTGAGTCCATTGATGCAAATGGATGGAGCAGGGAGCTGGGAGGGCCTTGTCTCTGCCCCTCACCCCTTCCCCACGGGCTTGCAGGTGGATGGTGTGAGCTACCTCCTGCAGGAGATCTATGGCATTGAGAACAAGTACAACACCCAGGACTGTAAGGTATGTGCCTGCATCCCACATCCCATGTCCCTTGGGCCTTCCCTTAGCCCCTGTTCCCTCCCCTTAGCACAGGTCCAGCCACTAGGACATGTTTGGGGCAAGAGTTTGGAGCTGTTGGGGCTGTGCAGGTGTCCGGGGACACTTTGTGGTGGCATCCAAGCTTCTGGGGGCAGAAAGCTGCAGGATGGAGCCTTTTTACCCCCTTCCTTTTTGCCCCCTTCCTCTCCCCCATCCATTGTGGCTCCCTGGGAGGATGATGGCTGGATCTTACTGGTTTCGGAGGGGACAGTGAGCCTCAAACATGGGATGTGCCTCACGCTCTGCTTTATATATATAAGAGATGGGGTGAAGGTTGCATCCCGCTATGGGTGCCTGATGCCTCCAGCCCCAGCTCCCCGCTCCAGAAGGGAGGGACAAGGTCCCAGGGTTGGATGTCAAGAGCAGGGACCCAGGCAGGGAAGGGAGCTCCCGGGACACCCACCCTTGTGCCAATGGGCTGGGGAGCAGGAGCTCGAGCTGGTCCCGTGTGTGCCATGGGCAGGTGGCCGAGGATGAGGTGAGCGACAACAGCGCCGAGTGCGTGGTGTGCCTGTCCGACGTGCGGGACACGCTCATCCTGCCCTGCCGCCACCTCTGCCTCTGCAACACGTGCGCTGACACCCTGCGCTACCAGGCCAACAACTGCCCCATCTGCAGGCTGCGTAAGCACGGGCTGCAGCCCTGGGAAGGGGCTGGCATCTCTCATACTGGGGCTGGCATTTCTCATACTGGGGCTGAAGTGTCTGGGAATGGGCTGGCATCTCTCATACTGGGGCTGGAATGACTGGGAATGGGCTGGCATTTCTCATACTGGGGCTGGAATGACTGGGAATGGGCTGGCATTTCTCATACTGGGGCTGGAATGACTGGGAATGGGCTGGCATCTCTCATACTGGGGCTGGAATGACTGGGAATGGGCTGGAGTGTCTGGGAATGGGCTGGCATCACTGGGAGTTCACTGGCATCTCCCACCCTGGGGTTCTGGGTCAGCCTGCTTGCAGCGATGCTGTGCAGCGCAGGGAGGCCCCTCCTGGGAAACGGGTGCTGTTCTGGGAGGTGTCTCATTCAGTACCCAGTTTTCCCCCAACCTCTTGTCCCTGCTGCTGCAGCTTTCCGAGCCTTGCTTCAAATCCGAGCCATGAGGAAGAAGCTGGGGCCCCTCTCGCCCACCGCCTTCAACCCCATCATCTCCTCGCAGACCTCCGACTCTGAGGAGCACTCGGTCAGTGCCCGCGGGGCAGGTTTGGGATGCACGAGCTCCCCACGGCCAGGGTTTAGTTATTTAATGCAATTGGTGTTGCCACAGACTGCAGGTAGAGACTGCAAAAACAGGGCTTTAACTCGGGTGGGAGGACCATGATTTGGGGCTTTCATTTGTGCAGGGAGTTTGTCTGTTCCCTGGGGCTTAGCTTCTCCCTGGAGTATCCTGATCCCAGCCTGGAGAAGACAAGCTGCGTGGAGACCTCAGAGCAGCTCCCAGTGTCTGAAGGGGGCTACAAGGATGCTGGAGAGGGACTCTTCATCAGGGACTGGAGTGATGGGACAAGGGGTGATGGGTTCAGACTGAAACAGGGGAGATGTAGGATAGACATAAGGCAGAAGCTCTTCCCCGTGAGGGTGCTGAGGCGCTGGCACAGGGTGCCCAGAGAAGCTGTGGCTGCCCCATCCCTGGCAGTGTTCAAGGCCAGGTTGGACCCAGGGGCTTGGAGCAAGCTGCTCTAGTGGAAGGTGTCCCTGCCTGTGGCAGGGGTTGGAGCTGGAGGAGCTTTAAGGTCCCTTCAGCCCAACCCCTCTGTGACTCCCTGGTCTCTCCGCAGGCCTCAGAGCACATCCCCCCGGGCTATGAGGTCGTGTCGCTGCTGGAGGCTCTCAATGGGCCGCTGATGCCATCCCCGGTGCCGCTGCGCAGGCTGGGGGAGCCCCCGGGCACGGGGCCCCTGCCCTGCTATGATGGGTCCCTGCCCCCCCTGCGGGCTCTGTCACCCCTCGAGCGCATCCCCGACTGCGGCCCCCCGGGGCTCAAGGTGAAGAGGAGCATCTCCAAGTGAGTACCGGGGCTGGGGGGGGGGGGCTCAGGGGCTGGGCTGGGGCAGGAGTGAAGCCCTTCCCTTTGCCCCCTCCGGGCAGGTCCATCTCGCAGAACTCCTCCATCCTGCCCGAAGAGGAGGATGAGAAGTCGTGCACCGAGTCGGAGCTGAGGGTCTCCAGGAGGAGATCCCCTGCCCGGTGCCAGGAGGTGAGCGCTCCCGAGCCGTGGTGATGACCCAAGGCACTGGGAGGGCCGCAAGTTTGGGGAGGTTTGGGAGCTGCTTGCGGTTTGCCCCTCCTGGCTCTTGCTCCATCCATGAGGATGCCTGGGGGAGATGGGTCCATCCCTGCGCAGTGTCCCCCATCCCATCCTCCCCGTGGGTTCTTCTTCCAGGAGTGTGGTGTGACGCCGGAGAGTGAAAACTTCACCCTGTCATCATCAGGGGCCATCGACCAGTCCTCGTGCACCGGGACACCGCTCTCCTCCACCATCTCGTCCCCAGAAGGTAGGCACCATGGTGAGGCAGCAGAGAGGTATCGGAATGTGGTTTGGGTTTGCATGGCCCCTTCCTATCTCTGCTTCGTCACCCATAGACCTGGAGCTGGGGACATAGGGGTGCTGATCACCCTTGCTTCATCACCCATAGACCCAGAGGGATGCGAGTCCCATGACCTATGTTGGCAGCTTTCCACCCATCACACCTCAATGGCTCCTTCCTCCTCCTCATTAGCCCCGTTGTGATTACCTGGTGCTGACCACCTGCACGGGTGGGCTGGGGGGGTCCAGTGGCCCCGCTCAGCCCCTTCTCTCCCGCAGAGCCCGTCAGCAGCAGCCTGGCCCAGTCCGTCATGTCCATGGCCTCCTCCCAGAGCCAGCACTCCCAGCTCAGCACCGACACCGTGTCCTCCATGTCCGGCTCCTACATCACTCCTGGTACGGAGGAGGAAGAGGAGGACGAAGGGGAAATGCTCCCCTCGCCCGCAGGTGCCAGCGCCACAGCCTCTGACGGAGAGGTAGGGGCTGGGGGGGGTTTGGTGGTGCCCATCACCGCCAGGCTCAAGAGCTTCTCCTCCAAACCCACCAGCACCACTCTCTTGGCTGGTTTTTCCTTTCCATCTTCCCCACCTTCTTCCCACAGTCGACGCCTGTGGAGTCCCCGGATATCAACTTCGTCAGCATCTCAGCCGAGGAGCGCGATGCCGAGGTACCCACAGCTGCCTGGGGAGGGGCTGGCACCAGCATGGCAAGGGGGGCATTGGGATCTGGGTGCCCCACGGATGGGCAAGCTGGGCGCTGGGCTGGGAAAGGGGCTGCTGGAACATCCGTGCCCCTGCAGGGCCTCCCTGGCAATGGATGGGGCAGTGGGGTTGTCCCCTACCCAGGAGCATCTTCCTGCTCCCTGGATATCCCCAGGGCCAGGGATGTCATTCCTGTGGTGGGACACTATGGGGCTGCTGATGCTCACTGCCTCTCACAGGGCAACGACGTGCTGGAGGATGAGGATGCGTCTCCCACACAGGAAGATGGTAAAAGGCCCCTGGTCACTGTTGTCCCCTCACTGTCCATTGGCTGTCACCGGTGGGCAGACGCTGGCTGTGCCCAGCTCCCCTGCCTGCCCCCTGCCACCCATGGGTGACTCCATGGGCGCTGGGGCTGGGAAAGCATCCCAGTGGGGTCACCCATGGGTGGGCTGAACACCAGTGGTGGGGGGAATCCAGGCGGCCGCGGGGACCCTGGTGAGCACAGTGTGGGATGTGCAGCAGGTGGTGGTTGGCATGCAGCATCCAATGGTGTTTCCATTGGGAAAGAGGCTCCTCTATGATTTTCCCTTTGCTAGGAAAGCCTTTCCTTGCACCTCTGAAGGTCTCCCCCCTAGGGGTCCCTGTCTGGGCTGGTTCTCATAGGAAGGGGCTGCAAAACTTTTCCCTTTGGGATGCTTTCCTGACTTCTTTTATGGCCTGCCCTCAATGTGCTTTCACGAGCCAACACACGTGCACTGAGGGCTCCTCTCACCTCCTCCCTTGTGCTCAAATAAGCCAAGGAAAGACGTGGTCACCCCTGTGCCATAGGCCACCAGCCACTTTGGATTTCTGTTGGGCTATAGGGAGCCCCCCAGCGTGCCCTATCCCACATTTGCAAGTCTCTGGTTAGCAAAAATGTGCCAAAGCAGTTCCCCCATCCAACCTGGACACTCAGCTGAGCTGGAAAGCAGGAACACCCATTCCCAAAACGGGTCTCTGCCCTCGAGGAGGCTCTTGCTGATGGAGAGACTTGTATATGACAACTGGGAGCGACCAGGGGCTGTGGTGGACGTCCATGGGCATCCCAACAACTCCGGGAGCAGGATGGCCTCTCTCCTTAGGACATGGTCCTGCATCTGTTTGCAATGGGGCTACTTACTTGGGAACATCCCTCCTGAGGTTTAGCGCCTGCATCTGATGGATGCAGGTCAGAACCCGGGGAAGATCTCTTGTAGAGGTGATGCTCAGAAGCAGAGTTATCCCCAACGGCCTCCATTCCCCTGCAAAGCTTGGCTACAGCTTCTTCTGCCCCACGCATCCGGTTGCTGCCTCCTCCCGGCATCCCTGCGGCTCCCACACGCGCTAATGGTGCTGGAGAGGCTCTGGAGGGAGGTGACGGTGACACCGTGACCGGGGACCACCCGGCTGGGCCAGGGGGAGGTTTGGTGAACCCCGGGTTCACGTGTGCCCATCACCGCATCGTTGCTGTTTCGCTGCCCTGCGATGCGGCCGGCGCAAGGAAAGGAGCAGCTGGGGCCGTTATTGTCCGCTCTTCACCCGCTCCCGGCTGAAGGCACCGTTTTAATGCCGTTTTCTTTGGAAAGAGGGTGGGAAAGGGACAGGAAAAGAGCCCGAAATCCCAGCCCCCACTGCTGAAAAGGCCCCCGCGAGCCCCAGCGCTGAGCCGCGGCGTTAACTGCCTTAACTCCCTTCCAGGCCCGAGGACAGGCGCTTTCCTCGGTCTGAGCTGTGACAATAACAATGACTTGGGCATCGCACACGTGAAAGCGCTGGACAATAAACTGTGCTCTGAGGCCTGCTTACCTGGTGAGTGGCCGTCTGCTGAACATGAACTTGGGGCGGGGGGGACAGTCCCACTCCTCCCTGCATCACCCCAGCCCTTGGCATCCCCCCCTCCTCTCCTACCGCCATCCCCATCATTCCCACCACCACCCCCAGCAGGTTGTCCTCACTGCACCAGGCATGTCACCACCCAGCTGCAGGTCAGGGTGATCTGTCCCCGCTGGGATGCATTGTCCCTTGGCCAGGGCAGTGCTGGTACCCCAGCCCTCCCTTGTGACGGCATTTGTGTGGCACAACTGCAGCCTGGTCCAGACCTGCGTTGGGCACAGCAGTATTTTGGGTTGGGATGTGATCCACAGCCCGTCCAGCCTTACAACCTGCCTCCCCTCCTCTTCTTGAGGGGAGACCGGGGATGTCATGTTGGGCTGTCCTGCAGAACCCCCATGTTCATCCCTCTTTCCCATTTCTCCATGCTTTCTTTTCCACCCTCCTTCCACTTCTATTTCCTCCCACCCTCTCTCCATCCCTCTTTTCTTTCCCTCCTCCCTCCCATGCTCCCCTGTCCCTATGGAAGTTCATGTTCGCTCTGTGCCAACACGGTTTTCCCAACCCACGCTTGTGTCCCCCCCTGCCCAGAGCTGCCCAAAGGTGACAAATGTATTGGTGACCCCGCTCCTCGTGTGGCCCAGGGGCTGCTCAGTGCTGCAGGATCCTCTTTGCCAGCCTGTGTACGGAGGAAACGGGGGGGGCAGAAAGCCCAGATGAAGCCCTCTGAGGGTCCAGGTCTCCATCAATACATTTGTGGACAAGCTCAAAGCAACTCTGCCCCCACCTTGCCCCTGTGCCTTAATCTGTGGTGGTGTGGGGTGTGAAACCTCGAGGAGCAGGGGGGGAAATCCTTTCTTTCCCCCCTCTCCTCCGGAAAGCTCCCTTTCCTGCTGCTTCCCCTGTTCCTGGTGGTTTCTGCGCTGGAGAAACATGGCTGAGGCTCCCTGGGAGGAACAGGCGCCTGCCACAAGTGCTCTGTGTCCCCTCCATCACCCTCTGGCAGCCACTGGCTGAACCCCACCAGTCTGGGGGGGGTCCCAGCAGCACCCCTACCTTTGCTGGGGGTCCCAGCAAAGCATCCCCCAGCTCTGGCACCGGCCAAAGCCATCCCCGACCGCGTCCCCCTCGCTTATACCAGGGGGAGGATGAGGAAGGGGCAGCTTTGCAGCCCTGCACTCTTGCTCTGCTGTGAGGACTGCAATGGCCTTGTCCCCCAGCTGGGCTGGGGTGCAGGATGTGGCCCCTGCGCTGAGCCCAGCCAAGGATGCTCTCTCCATCCTTTGGCCACCACGTGTGCACTGCTTGGAGCCCTCGGCAGGGATGGGAAAGCATGAGAGGGATAAGCGGGAGCTGAGGCTTTGGGGCTGCCCGTGGTCACTGGGGGCCAGGGGGAACAACCCCAGGGATGTGAGCTCTGTGCTAAGGTGCTTGGAGCAGGATTGCCATGGGAAGAGCTCGGGGAGCCGGGGCAGCGGAGGGGAGCAGCCACCCGGGGGCTGTGATGGTGGTTTCCTGGTTGCGATCAGTGTTGGGTTTGTCCCTTCAACTCAGGGCAGCTCCTTCCTTCCCCGGTCCCTCTGCTCCTCCTGCCCCGGGGCATTCAGCCTCCAGCTGTGCTGGAGCTCCTGTGGGGCACAGTCGGACGCTGGTGGTGCTGGTTTGCAGTCGCAGGGCTGGTTTGCATGCACTGAAATAGTCCTTTTTGGCAGAGGTTTCTTGCAGGTCTGGATGTGACCACATCCCCGGGGCCAGCAAGAACAGGGGCAACTTTTATTTTGGGGCCAGGCACTGGTTTCTTGGAAGCTTAGAAGAAAATCACCTTGAGCAGAGATGACGACATCATTATTGTTGTTATTTGTCCCTCCCTCAGTTTCTCTTGTGGGGTTAGACCTGGATAGACCCATGGGCTGGGTTTTGCTCTCTCTATAATGGATGAAGGCGCAGGGTTCCTCAAAGCTCTTGTGAAATCTCTGCAGGTTTCAGGCTGGTGGGAAAGGGCTTTGGGAGGAGTGGAAAGGCCACATCCCAGGATTTGGGGACACAAGGTTTATATCCAACCCGCAGACCTGTGTCCCTGTGGACCCTGCAGAGCCCTGGAGCGAACAGCAGGTTGCAGGGGCTGTCCCCATGGCTCAGAGCATCCTCTGGCTGTGGTCACGGCCTTGGCCAGATCCTGCTTCCCAACCCTGCTCCTCAGCAGCCACCCAAGGGTGCGCTGAGCTGAGCTGGGTCTGTGCTCCAGGGCGCTGCAGTGACCGATGCAGCGTCAAGCTCTTAATGGGATTTTGGGGGGTGTGTGTTCTGTGTGGTCCTGTTTAACTATCCCTTCCCTCTGGGATCTGCAGGCTTAACATGCCTTGCTCTCCAGCCTGAGCTTGCCATGGAAAGCCAGTGGAACAGCAGCTGCCCCCTCCCATACGTCAGCAGGCAGCAGGGATTTGTTGCTCCCTCTTTGGGAAAGCCTCAGCACTTGGCCTTGGCCTTGGGGTGCCCTCACATGGCCCCCCTCAACTCAGAGCTGCCCCGAGCCTTGGGCACAGGGCTTTCACCTCACTGGGGGGGAGCAGCCGCCCTGCTTTAGGGGTGCATCCCCTTCCTAAGGGCACCACGTAGCCTCTGGGACACAAGCCATGGGCAGGCAGGTCCCCAGCTCTGCCCATCACCCTGCCCTGGCTGGAGGGTGCTGCCTGCACCAGGAGCCTGCAGCCCGAGGTGGGGCATGTGGGGACGCAGCTTCCCTGTGCCACGAGCATGTCCCCCCCTCGGTTCTCCTTGGCACAAGCCCACGCATGATGTCCCCCTTGCCCCGTCGGTGGCTCCCTGTCCTCATCCCAGACCTGTTCCCGGGCAGTGAGCCCCTCATTCCCCCCAGTCACCCTGGCTGCTCTCTCGTGTGCATGTCCCCCCGGTCCCACTCTGCTCCCCCCTTCACCATGTGCCTTCTGGTCTCTCCCGCCACGCAGGCGCTGTGCCGGACTCCTGCCCCATTAACATTGAGGAATAGGTATGAGACACCCAGAGCCTGCGCCCGCCTCGTGCCCGGTCACCCCGGGGGGTTGGTGCCCCTGGCAGTCCCCTTGCTGGGTGACACCCCAGCCTACCCTGCAGCCCCCCATGGGGTGTCTGTAAGTGCCCTCTTACAGGGCACGGGTGGGCAGAGGCAGCCCCCTTCCATGCGGGTTATTAAAACCTGGCCGTGGTGCACTGTGCTTCCCATTCGCCCCTCAGCATTCCCGAGAAATCAGAGGTTTAAGGGGCTCCCCTGGTTTGGAGAGGTAAGTGCAGGCACCAGCTAGCCCTCAAACCCAATATGGGGGGGGCTGGGGAGGTGGGTGCCACTTGGGGAGACTGTGTTGCATCCCATGGGAAGATGCCCAAGGCTGCCGTGGCTTTGGCAGCCCCTAACCCCCTGTTTTCTCGCCCCAGGCCCAGAGGCAGCCAACAACAACGTGCGGCTGCAGCAGGCGCCCCGGCCCCGCTGCCCCCCCGGCCCCCAGGACCTGGAGCTGGCAGCGGCCACCCCTGTGTGAGGGCTCAGCCTCAGCAGGGGCACACGCACCCCCCGTGCACACAGAGGGGTCCGGGCACCGCAGGCATCGCCACCTCCCTCCCCTGCCTGTGGTGGGACTGCTTTTCCAAAGACAAGATGGTAACGTGGGCTTTTCCTGCCCGGCCCCGCTGTGCAGAGCGGGGCCCTGGGAACCACATCACTTCAGAGCCCCCCCATCGGCACCTTCCCATCCTCCAGCCCTGATGGGGATGGTCTGGGGTCCCCTCCTGCCCCCGGCCATCTCACACCCATCCCCAGGCCTCTCTCCTCCGGTGTGCAGAGCACATGGGATGGGGTCACCCCACAAAGGGTGTGCTGGGATGTTGCCAGAGGTGCACGATGCCCAGGGGTGCAGGTTAAGGATGAATGTTGGCACTGGCATCCTCACTACGCAAGCCAGTGACCTTCATGGGGGGCTGGCACCCCCCCAGGTTCGCTGACCCCATGCTCTGGGGTTGTCCCCATTAGTGCACTGGTGGGGATGGTGCCCCTGGGGCTCCCCGTCCCTCTGCTCTCCACCCTGGGCAGCACGTGGGCTCTAGGGCCTGGCCCATGAGTTTGTTTTCCCCAGGGGATGGAGCGGGGTGGCCAGGGGACCTGGGACACCCCCCCCCCCCCCCCGGTCACCAGCCCCAGGGACATGGCCAGTTTAACCTCACTGTCTTCCAGTGGGGCGGGGGCACAGGGCTGGGGCTGTGCCCTCTCTCTGGAACAAGTGCCAAACGTGTCACCCCTGGCCTGCCCTCTCCATCGCACTTTGTAGCAGGGGGTGGATGAGGGTGTGGGAGCTGCTTCCCCATCCCTCCAGCCCCATCCCTCTGGCCAGCCCTGGCCTCACAGCGTAAGTGGGTTTTGCTCCAGGAGACAGGAACACAGGGACTGCAGTGGGGTAGGGATGCAGCCACAGAGCTCGGGGACCTGATGGGGCCATTGGCAGAGGCCAGGCTCCACTCCAGAGAGCACCAGGAAGAGGCAGAAGGCACCCTGAGGAGCATCAGACCCAACATCCCAATCCAACAAGCTCTTGGAGCTGTTTGAGTGAGCCCAGGGTGGGAGGTTGAGCCCCCCTTTTTCCCCACCTGGTTTTCTCAGGCAGATGTGACAGCAAAGGCCACCTCCTCTTTGCAGAAGGAAGCTGCATTTCAGAGCTCCCTTAGGACAGAGATGTTCATCCAGTGAAAGCGACATCCCCAGCATGCAGGGAGCAGGTCCCCACCACTGTCCCCATGGTGCAGCACAGGCCATGCTGATAGCTGTTGCTGCTAAAGGGAGAGAAAGCCCTTTATGGGGCTGGGAGGTGTTTGCTGCTCACTTCATGTCCCTCACTTCATAGTGTGGGTCCTGCTGGAGGGGGGGTCAATGCTGGCCACCCTCCTCTGCTCTGGCACCCCACCATGACTCCTGTAAGCTCAGCAGCTCCCAGATTCCTCCCTGGAAACTCAGGGCTGGGTGCTTGATGGGGGGTGACGTCTCCATCTGTGGGATGGGAGCTGCTGCCACTGGGGAGCTGTGGTGGGGAAGAGCCTGGCAGCCATTTGGGGACATGGTGTGTGGCCCGTGGGGACACACTGCCCAGTGCCATGGTGGGGCAACCCATGGGGTTTGGGAGTGCTGGCCCCAGGAGCCAGCATCACCACACTGGGCACAATGAGAGCTTTGGGGGTTCACTGCCACGCTGAGCTGAGAGGACCAAGGGGGCTGTGGGAGGCTGGCTCTTCCCTAACCCCCAGCATGGAAAAACCAGGATGATGCTCCAGGGGTGGCTCAGCTACCAAAGCCAAACCTTCCTTGTGGCTTCAAAGGGGTCCAGAAGAGCTCTCCAGGCTCTACACCATCATGGTGTAGGGCTGTGGCAGTGCTTGTGGCTGCTGGCAGGTCAGGTCCTTGCTCAGGAGGGTCCCTGGAGGGTTTTCTGGCTGCTCTGAGCTGTGTGTCCCCAAGTTAGCTCCCAGGGTGGCTGTCCCATCCCACAGCTGGTGGCATGCACATGGTGGTGGAGAGGAGCCAGGAGGAGCGAGCAAAGAAATGAGCATCCTCCACTGGTGGCACAGGAGAGATGGGATTTGGGTGCAGGTGGCACCAGTGCTGTCCTCAAGCCACCCAGAAGGGACGAGGGGTAGGCAGGAGCTGCTGGTAAAAGGCAATAGCCCTTGTTCCAGTGATCCAGCTGTCAGGGATTTAGGGAAAGAAACCGGATTGCTGCTTCTGAACTCTGCTTTGAGCATGTTTTGGATTTTCAGAGTATGTTTAATAAAGGGCATCTTATGTCAACAAAGCATCCAGAGTCCTTCCGTGGTGACAAGGTGAGAGCAGCTGGAGATGTGGTGGGTGGAAACACTTTTTGGGTGGGAGCATCCACCCAGGAACCTCCCCAGAACCAGCCCAGCTGCTTCAAATCTCCTAAAACGCTTCCAAACGCTTCCAGCCCACACCCTGCCTTCCCCAAGCACTGCTAGGATGGAGAAGGTGCAAATGCAAACAAAGCCTCTGCAGGAAGGGGCTGGGCTGCGGTGTGGATGGCCAGGCAGGGGGTCCCTGGCACTGCTGGGATGGATGAGGACACCCAGAGGAGACTTCCTGGAGGAGAAGAGCTGGGTCCTCCTGCAGGAGAAACCCCTCCAGTGCTGGGGAGGAAAACTCATACCGGGGGCTGATACCTGAAAGGTGAGGAGGGTCATAAGGGGGGTTAGAATGCGGTTTTAGTGGAGGGGGTGATGAACAATGGGGGAATAATAAAATCATGGAATGGTTTGGGTTGGAAGGAACCTTAAACCCCATCCAGTTCCAACCCCCTGCCCCGGGCAGGGACACCTTCCACTTGGTTGCTCCAAATCCTGTCCAACCTGTCCTTGAACACTGCCAGGGATGGGGCAGCCACAGCTTCTCCGGGCACCCTGTGCCAGCGCCTCAGCACCCTCACAGGGAAGAGCTTCTGCCTAATACCTAACCTGAACTTCCCCTGTTTCAGTTTGAACCCATCACCCCTTGTCCTATCACTACAGTCCATGACGAAGGTCCCTCAGTGTTCTCACCCTGCCTTCATACAGGAGGTGCTCCAAGCCCTGCCTCCCCTGGGCTTGCTCCAGCAGCTCCATGTCCTTGTTATGGAAGCACCTTGCAGCTGCTGGGGAGGGCCTGAGGTGGCCAGATCCTCCAAAAGGAGAGGAAGAGAACTGAGGCCTGTGGGGCTGTGCCCGGGCTGCTCAGGAAAGCCCTTGGACTCTGCCTTAGGGAGCATTCCTGCAGGAGCAGGTCTTGCTCCTGAGGGAACTGACTTGTCCAGAGGGCAGGACCCTGAGCTTTGGGGTGGGTGTTTGCTGGATAGTCACCTGTGGAAAAGTGAAACAGAAATTTCCACTCCCCTGGGAGCTGCCTCCTCCACCGGGGATGAGCAGGAGCAGAGGGGAATCTGGGGAGAGGGTCTGACACCTGCCTGCCCTCCAGCTTGTCCTGCCCAAATCCCTGGGGATCCTGGCAGGAAAACCACTTAATGTACATGTGCTTCAGCCCCTGAGAGTGAGTCTGGCTGCTCCCAAACCCTCTTTCCCTGTGGGCAGACACAGGAGAAGCCTTTAAACCTCCCCAAGTCCCCCACTTCTCAAAGGGCAGAGCCTTGTGCTGTGGGGTGGAAACACAAGACTTCCCAAACAGGCTTCTCTTGGGATTCACGGCTGCTCCCTGCCCCCTTGGTCAGGGAGGGGGTCCCTCACTGGGATCCTTTGGGCTGGTGAGGGGTGGAACATAGGATTTCTTATAGAAGCATATAGTTGTAATAATTTTAACTAATAAAGGGGGACCCCTCCCTTTAATCTGGGGGGCTGCCAACCCCCTGTCAGCTTTGCTGTCATCGCTGTGGACTCCGTCAGGTGTCAGAAGCAGGTTGGGGGCACAGACAGGAGGAAAAGGGATGGGGCTGCCCCTCTGTCAAGCCGAGGGGGGTGGCGCGGATACAGGTTTGGGGTGTGCTGGTGCTGTGCTGGGTTGCGGTGGAGCCCCGCAGCATCCCTGGGTACCACAGACCTGCCCACTTCCAAACTGCGAGCATCCCCAGCCAGGCCTCTGGCCCCTAAATGCCCAAATCTCAACCTAAAGGGGCAGGTCCCCTCCTGCTCCCCATGACAACGCGGGGACCAGTGGCAGGCCCGGAAGCTGTTTACGGGGCGGAGCGTCGCCGTGACAACGGGAGAAGCCTTTCGGAGCAGCTACTTAACAGCAGCCCCCGGGAAGCCGGGAAATCACGGCGGAACGGCGGGCAGGGCCCGCACCGCCACCGGGCGGGAGAGCTGGATCCGCATCCCCCCCGCCGCATCCCGGCACCGCCGCTCCGGTTTTCTTTATTTTTTGTGTTATTTTCTCCTTTTTTTTCCCCTGTTTTCCCCCGATTTTCCCCAGCGCTTTTTGCTCTCCCGTGAACTTCGGAAGCAGCGGGGACATCGCCGGGCGGGGTAAGGGCTGCGGCAGCTGCGGGGCTGCGGGAGGGGCAGCGCAGCGCGGGGGGAGCGCCCGCGGGTGCGGTAGGTTTGCACTGGGGGGGTGTGGATGCGGCTGTGCTGTGTCTCTGTGCGTGTCCCTGGGTGCGCTTATCGTCCTGGGTTTTACTTCCTTTTCCATCCTTTTTACGCCCCCCAACACACGCACCGCAACGAGCGGCTCCGGTCCCGCTCACCCCGCCGCGGGCGCCGGGGCGAGGGAGGGGACACTGGAACCGGAGCATCCCAACCCGTAACCGCTGCTCCCTGAGCCTTTAGTTCGGGATTGGCGGGGGGAGCCCGTTTATTTGGAGCGAGGCCGGGGTTCTACTGTCCCCGCCCCTCCGGTCCCGCGCCCCGTCCCGCGCTCCCTGCGGCCGTTGAGCAGAACGGGATTCGAACCGTTCTGAAGCCGGTGCGGTCGCGCCGCTGCGGGTCGCACGGGAGAGGTTCCTCGCCTCCAAACCTCAGGATTTTGGGGGTTCCAGCCCAGCAGCGAGACCAGACACCTGCTCCTGCCCTGGGAATAACCGGGGCTCGAATCTACCGGCTGCTCTGAGTGAGGGTGTGCTTGGGGGAGAGTTCCAGGGGTGGGTTAGGGAGACCAGGGGAAGGGGGAGAGCAGCAACAGCCCAAACCCGAGGGATGCTGGTGGTGGTGGTGGTGATGGTGATGGGGAATTGAAGCTGTTTTGTCGAGCGGTTGGACCTTGAGATTTTGTCCTGCTGGGGGAAGTGGGAAAAGCATCCTCCCTTTGAGGGATGGAGTTTGTTGTTTAAAGGGGGTGTGGGTGTTATTGATTTATAAATATTTATAAATACAAATATTTATTTATAAATAAGTTTTATATATTTAAAATAATTTTATTTATAAATAAATATTTATTTATAGTTATTTATAATTAAATTTTAATTTTATTTATTTATAAATTGATGTGCTCTTCAGCCCAAGGCTTGTGCTGGGACACCTGGATTGGGGCATACTGGGGGGGGGGGGGGGATGTGGTGCAGCAGTTTGAGGTTCAGGGCTGCTGAAGCACTGCAGGGGAGTTGATGTGGCTCCAGCACGCAGCACCCTGGGGATGGGGCTCACCCAGCAGCACCCAGGCCCAGGTGCCAGAGAGTGGCTGCACCTCAGGGAGTCTCCAACTCTCTCCCTGTTGTTGCTGCAGGATCTGCCCCATCTCCTCCCTTCTGTATCTGCACACCCTGCAAATGCAGAACCCGGTACAGAACGAAGGCATCGCTGACGTGTGGTCCAAACGCGTGCGGGAGAGGAGGAAGAGACTGCAGATGGGCACCTTGGATGAGTTTGATGCGCTGGATGACAGCCTGACCAGCCTCATGTGGCTGCAGGACTTCTCCATCACCAGTGCCAGCATGGGCAAGTCCTCCTGCTGCCCCACTGGGCCGGACCCCCACGACTATCAGAAGATCCCCAGCTTTGCTGCCCCGTGCTCACCCCTGGCCGCTGACCCAGCGTGCATGGGTGTGCCCCACACCCCCTGCAAGCCCATCTCTTCATCCACCTCGAGGACAGCACACACCATCGTGGCCATGAACCCTCAGCTCATGGAAGACATCGACTACAAGACCAACCCACACGCCAAGCCACCCTACTCCTATGCCACCCTCATCTGCATGGCAATGGAAGCCAGTGAGAAGCCCAAGATCACCCTTGCTGCCATCTACAAGTGGATTACTGACAACTTCTGCTACTTCAGACATGCTGATCCCACCTGGCAGGTAGGAGATTTGGAGACCTCTTGCCCTGTCCCCTCTGCTTGCAGGGCTGAAGAGGGCTTTCCACAGCCTCCACCATGCAAGGCAAGGTCCCACTGGGATGCTGGATCCCACTGGGAGGACAGCTGGTGGGGAACGGCTGTAATAGGGGCACAGAAATGCCACAACCATGAGGCCAGCAGAGGGAAGGAGCCGTTACAGGGGAGAGCCCAGGGCCATTTTGGGAACAGGGAGGTACCTGCTAGTCCCTGCGACTCCTCTTGGCTCTGGCGTGAAAATGTCTGTGTCCCCAACTCCACCTTTCAGGATTCTTGTGGGGCCCCGAGTCTCTTGGGGCTGAACACATGTGAAGTCACCAGGGTGAGTATCTCTGGGTGCTGAGGACCAGGAGTAGCAGAAGGATGGAGAAGACCCTTGGGGAGATGCTGCTTGCTGGACAAATCCATCCTTGAGGAGGTTCAGAGCAGAAGTGCTACTGCTTTCCAAGCAGGGCAGGTCTCTGGTCCATCACTGTAAGGGAAGCCCAAGAGAGGTCAAACAGGGCTGCTGTCCCCAGCTAGCACCAGCATGTCCCCATTAGGTATGGGACAGCCTCTGGGCTCCCCAGCTTTAGGGACAGCCTGAAGCACAGGGGCTTTCCCAGCCACCTTGGCTTGCTGCCTTCCTGTGTCACACAAGGGGACCTCTGGCATGTGTGGTTTGTAGGATGTGGCAGGGCAGGAGGGACCTGGTGGCTCGTCCCTCTGCTTGGGTTATTCCCAGCCCAAATCCACAGTGTGCCAGTGATCCTGGCAATGGTGTTACCCAGGCAGGGCTGGGCAAACCAGCCCACCTTGTCCTCAGGCAGGGGGGTCTCCAGCAGCTTCTTGAAGGCCACCATGGAGAAGGGTCCCTCTCCAGGGCCACCCCAACCTCCCCTGAGCTGGGGGGAAGCACAGGAGGAGGAGCTGTGCCAATGTGTTGACTTGCTCCTGTGAACCCATGGATAAATACCCCAGTTTTAATTAAATGTGTTGATGAATAAAAGAAAGAAGGTTTCCAATCCCTGCCCAGAGGTGCAGGGGGGGGCACAGCACTGCTGCGGGCAGGAATGACAACTATGCTAACCGGGGAGGAAGGCTGGAGTGGGTTTGGGATGAGGAGGGGAGAGGGGGAGCAGAGAATTCAGCCTGTGAGTCTCTGAGCCTTGTAAAACTCAGTTAAGCTGTAAATCTGGAGTTACCAGTCTGGATTGTTTCAGGATGTCTGTGTCCTGCTGCTGCTTTCTTCTTTTCCTCCTTTCTTTATTTTCCTTCTTTTCTTTTTCCTTTATTCTTCCCTTATTCTCTCTTCTTTCCCTTTTCTCTTTCCTTTCTTTCTGAGGCTCTCTTCTCATTCTCTCTCCCAATTCCTGTACTGAAGACAGCCTAGAAAGGTCATGCCACCCATCCTCCGGGGGGAGATGGATCTATTCCTGTGGGAGCTGAGTGCTTTGGAGAGGAGCCAACACACCCGAGGAGCTTCAGCCCAGAGGAGGGTTTTGGTGTGTGTGTGTGTGTGTGTGTGTGTGTGTGTGTGTGTGTGTGTGTTTTTTCACCAGCTCCAAGCATTCAAGCCTTGTTTTTCTTCCTTGGCACTACGGATTATGGGTGAATAAGCATAAAGATATCCAGGCAACATTAGGGGGAAAAAAAAGCCTCTACCATATCCAATCTCTTAATACAGTCTTGGCTTTGTGGAGCCCAATGCAGGGTTATTTACCCAATAACTGAGTTCCCTTTCTGATTCTTCACATCACTCCAGGCACATTCAGGGGGTCAGAACAGCTCAACAGGAACAGAAATTCCTCTATTTCTTTTTTATTCCCATTTTTGACCCTCCCTCAGCTCATTTGAGCAGTGGCTGAGGAAGATGCAGTGATTCCATGTTAGCTTCCTTGGTTTACCTGCCTGGTGCCTAGTTTTTGCCCAAATATTTTCCCTTCAACACTAGCAATAGGCCCAGAAGAACTGGGGAATGGAAGGAAGGCCCTGATGATGCCCTCACGTGTGGGACTGCCATGTGTTGCCACTTGTCATGGGGCTGTGGTCACATTGGTGTAAAGAGCCTCCTCTTCCTCCTTAGCTGTGAGGGAGGACCCTTAGCTCCATGCCTAGAGCATGTCTGGCCAGTTTCTCCCAGTGCTCTGCATGATCCAAAGCCCCATGGCCTCAGTTTATAGCCAAGGAGAGTGGCCCAAAAGCTTCCTGCTGGTTGGCAAGTCGCAGCCTTGAACCCCTTGGCTCTTGCCACCTCTGGTTGGGTTAGACAGGAGACAAGAACACTGCTGGTGACTCAGGGGAGTTTCTGCTGAGCATGTAGCCCTGGATGCCCTGATGTTGCTGATTCTGCCTTCTTTTTCCCCAAGGTCCTTGCTGAAAACACATTTGTCCACCCATCTCCCCATGCAGGTAGGTGCTGGGGCAGCTGACCAACATTCAGCCTTGGCTTTCTTTCTCTTTTTGGTTCTAGAACTCCATCCGGCACAACCTCTCCTTGAACAAGTGCTTCATCAAGGTGCCTCGGGAGAAGGGTGAACCAGGGAAAGGGGGATTTTGGAAGCTGGACCCCCAGTACGCCGACCGGCTCAAGAACGGTGCCTTCAAGAAGCGGAAAGTGCCCCCTGTGCAGACCCAGACGGCCTTCACCCAAAACACCCAGCAGGATCCACCATGTACCACCAGCTCACCCTCTTTGGTTTGCACCTCCAGTAACATCCTCAACGTCAACATGGAGTCGCAGCAGCTGCTGAAGGAGTTTGAAGAACTCACCGAGAGCCAGAACATGAATCCGGTCAATGATGAAGTGGGGTGCAAGCGCAAGAAGCCCCTGCCCAACCGAACGGCCAAGGTAGCTCGTGTTTCCAGCTCTCCCTTGCTGACCCAGGAGGAGCAGACGGAGCTGGGGTCCCTCAAAGGTGACTTTGATTGGTCAGCCATCTTCAGCGCCAGCCTGAATGAAAACTTCTCAGCTTTTGAAAACCTGGAGCTCCCACCTCCAATCGATCCCATCATAGGTGATGTGGACCTGGAGGCACACGGCCACATCGACGGTCCCCAGGGGCAGGAGCAGGCCCTCACCGAATCCAACCAAACCAACCCAGACCTGGATGAAGCCTTGATGGCCGCAGCTTTCCTGGACAGCCCCTGGGATGAAGGCACAAACGACTGCCTCTCCAACTGTGTCAACATTGACCAGCTCTTTGAAGCCTGTGACGCCTCTTTGCCAGCGGAGGAGGGCAACTGGACCAGCCTCACCACCCTTGTATAAGACACCGGTCCCCATTTAAAGCCCATGCAGACTTTATGTCCCCCCCAAATGCTGCTGGGACTTAAAGGGACAACATTTTCTAGAGACAGAAACATCCACAGTGACTTTTGCCACCTTTTAAGATTACACATAAAAACATTTGGGGGAGGGGGGACGAACCACCATCACACGAACTGTTTGGTATATCCTTAAAGGACACATCAAATCACTAATTCATGAGTTTCCTCAAGAGAAGAATTATAACAGTACTTATTTTTTTACTTTTAAAGGAAGAAATGTGAATTATCATTTGATTTTATCCATAGAAATGGACATCTATTCCTTCAGGGCTAAAGAAGAAGCACCTGCTAAATTCCACCCAAGACATGAGATTCCTGGTGGCTTAGGACTTGATAGAATAAGTGCAATTTCCTTACCTTTTTTTGCTCGCTGTTTCTCTTCCCTTGTTCAGAGTAGTTGGTAGGTACAGTATGATCATTAGCAGCCAATAGATGTCCCTTATGGCTTCTGGAGTTCAAGCTCCCTCCTGACTTGTGCCTAGGGAAGAAGAAAAGGTTTATCAATTCACCAAGGCTGCCTCTTTAGACGGTTTTATATTATCTATTATATATTATATATTCAAAGAAACCTATATTTTTAGCATTAGAATTTCTTCCTAGTGGGGGGGATAGGGAAAATACAGTTTTGGGGTTTGTTTATATTACCACTGTTTAAAGGCTTGTTCCATAAACCAGCACTATAGGAGGGAAGATTCCTGCAGCAGCAGCAGCAGCAGCAACATGGCAAGGAGCCAGGGATTGGTCCTGGCAGGAGCTGAGCAGGATGCTCCCAGAACTGGCTTTTGTAATTTTTGCACCCCAAATCCTTGCTGTGGTTGCTGAAGGGTTTATATCACCATGAACCCTCTCTGCCTTTCACCCCTTTCTGCTTTTTTGCTCCAAGACTCTTGCTCTCCACTTCTGCTCATCCATCAGGCTCCGAGTGGCTGATGAAGGACCCCGGTTAAGGCTGTGCCATAAGGAAACACCGTGGCATGGCCATTGATTGGTGGCAACTGGGTCACTTCACATTCTATGCTCCCAGGTGGGACCGAGGAGGAAAGAAATCCACATGAAGCCTCCATCCAGGAGCTCAGACTGTGTGTGCAGCAGGCTATGGTGATGGCAGGGGAAATGAAGTCACATCCATCTGGGAGAGCTATTGGGACTGACACCAACTGAAGCTCTGTGCAGTGAGAATATGGCCGGTATCTGCAAATGAACATTTCAGGAGCGAAGCCAAATGCTGCTGGAACTTGACTTGAAGATCTCAAGAACTGGATTCTTTACCTCTCTTCACTATAGGTTTAGAGTTAAGAGTAGCCTTTAGGTAGGAGGAAGCAGAAGTTGTAGTTTTAGTGATATGTTTTAGTCTTATATAGAATTGGAAGATTGGAAAGAGTTTCTTTTTTTGTTACTAAAGCACTTAGGACCTTTCATAGGAACAATAGGATTTAGCAAGAGTAGAGCTGTAGTGTAAGAATCAATAAACAAGCCTTTCAAACAACAACCCGATCACCCTTGGACTGATTTCCACCCAAATTTGGGGAGAGGGTTGGAGCTGTGGAGGTGAGAGCACAAGTCAAGTCCTGCATACTCCTGGGTATAAAGAACCAACATCTTCAGCTCATACAAGCAGCAGGGCTCAGGGTGGGGCTGCTGCTTTGCCTGGGTACCAGGGGCTGAAGGCTCATGCAGGTCTTTGGGGGCCAGCATAGATGCTTCTATGTGTATTGGTGATGCTTCTATTTTTATCTGTTGTTTTATACTTTCCTGTTTGGGGGCCTCTATCTTGATGCTGAAGACCTGCAGAGATGTGTGTGCAATTGAACCTTTTTCATGGAACATTCTTTACAAATTAAAACAAAAAAGAAAGAAATTTTGAGAAGAAAAAAACCCCTTTTGCCTCCTTGATTCCCTCCTCCTCTGCCTGACCCTCTCCTAGGGGAAGGGGACATCTCACCAGCCCAGCCCTGGTTGCACACTCACCAGTACCTGGGTGCCACCATCCCCCTTCATGGCAGGATAGCAATTCCCCGTGGGGAAACTGAGGCACAAACCACCACCTGTGTGGCAATGGGTACGCAGTACCTGTGCTGCACACGGGTGACCAAGTCCTGCGAGCTGCTCCCACCCCCTGGAGCACCCTTCCCTGCAGATGACATAGTATGGGTATCTTGGCCTCACTTCCCAGGGAAACGGTGGAATCACCATCCCTGGCAGTGTTCACACACCGTGTAGATGAGGCCCTCAGCACCATGGGTTAGTGGTGGCCTTTGCAGTGCTGGGGAACAGTTGGAGCTGATGAGCCTTAAGGGCTTTTCCAGCCTGGTTGATTCCATGATTCTCTGATTATCCCTCTGCTTGTGCCATGTCCTCACCTGGCCCTAAAGACACCCTTAGAACCACAAGTGGCTTCAGAACCCTCCTGGGTGCAGGGTGGTGAGAGGAGCTGCACAGAAGCCGCAGGAACAGCCGAGCCCTCCTGAGGCCAATTACACCGAGGAGTAGTTGGGCTCTGCTAAGGCAGGGAGGAAAGGCAGCACACACTCAACACCCAGCCTGGGCTGGGCAGGATGGGGGAGCTGGGGGTGCAGGCATGGGGAGCCCCATGGGGAGGGCAGCTTGGCTCAGGGAAGTGGGGCTGGTGCAAGCCTGCAGGGGCCAGGCTGTGGGTACCCCTACAGCTGTGGGGCAGTGCTGCCATATGGGATGGAGAGAGAAGGCGAATCTGGAAAAGGGGGGTCTGGCCCTCACTTGGTGGCTGCCCAGTTCCCACTGTCACATCTGAGCATCTCCAGGGACAGGGATCCCCCTCCAGATTCTGTCTGGGGCTCATCCAGCTTGATGGTCCACTCCAGGACGTTCCACCCGTCTTGCACAGGGGACACAGCACTTGAGGAGCATGCTATGACCTCCCATTGATCTGCTGGATCCCATTGGCACCAGGCCCAGCAGCAGTGAGCCCTATGGCGGCCCCTGTGCACTGCAGTGGTCACAGCTGCTCCCAGTCCAGCCACTCAGCCCAAAATAAAGGTCGAGACAGAGGCAACCCTGGCTTCTATGTGCTTTCTGCTGGAAGAGCAGGATGTAGCTCTGGGATGAGGTAGGATTATCCTTTGTAGGAGACGGCTTTGGGGGGGGAGGAGGGGGGGGAGGAATTTTGGAAGCACATCTGGACTCTCAGCTTGAGGACACTGGGGACCATGAACCCCTAAAGGCAATAAGGAATTCCCTGTCCTGGCTTCTCCTCCTCTCAGCTCCCTGTCGGTAGCACTGAGGGAGCTGCTCTCTCCTTCCCCTCAGTAGTGGTGGCACTGGCAGGGCTGCAAAAACCTGGCAGCCCACTTGGTCCACTTCTTTATCTGGTTTTGCCAAGCACAACTGTGTAGTTTCTGTTGTAAACCCCCTGGAAGAAGAGGAGCCCCCAGCACCCCTCCCAACCCCCCTGTGCCAGGGGACTGGAAATCACCACCCTGCCAGGAGAAAATATTCCAGCCTGCCGGAGCCAGTCGAGGGTTTTAAAGCGAGAAAGGGTGAATATAAAGGAGGCACCAGGCGAGGCCTGAAACAACCTCGTTTTGTTCAGCTTCTGAAAGCAACAAAACCAACTGGAACGTGAAGTTTTGCTTTCAGGGAGCTGGTTTGGTGTGGGGGTGATGCTGCAAGCAGCAGGCAGGAGGTGCAGCTCTGGGGTGGGAGCCCTGGGGCAGGCAGGACACCACGCTGCTGCCCGCACAAAGCCCATGTGTGCTGGGCTGGAGCCCAGTGCCAAGAGAGAGGTCAGGCCCTGGCCTGCCCGGGCTTGCCGGCAGCAGCGGGGCTGCTGCAGCCCTGCCCAGTGCTGCTCCAGCCCTGCCCCAGCTCACCCAGCACCACAGGGATGGGTTGGGGACCCCTGAGCTGCCGGTGTCCCCCATGCTCTGCGTGTGTGAAGTGAAAACCCAGAGCCTTTGGGGGCATCCCACCACCGGCACCCACCAAAGCAGGTCTGAAGGACTCAGCTCCAAATCCTCCCTGCAGCCTCCACAGCTCCTTCCTAGCCTGTTATTAAACCCAGGGCAATTATTCCTTTATTATTTCTTTCTGCTATTCCTGCAGCCATTCCCTCCTCCATCCATCATCCCTTCCCAATGGGCAAACATTGCCACCTCAACCCAATCTCCCGTTCACAGAGAGGGAGAAAAATATACACATAAGCCCTTCTTTTCTCTCCTTTTCTTGCCGGGTCTTTCTTTGCTGTGCATTGAGTGCAGGGCTGGCCCGGAGCCTTCTGGCAAGAGCTGCCTTTCACTTGCTAATCATCCCAAATATTGAAAATCAACCCCAGAATCAACAGCTCCAAGACTGGGGCCATCTCTGCTCTGTTTGGAAATGCAAATCTCGCTGCTTTTGTTTTCCCTATGTGGGTTTGGTGCTGGCTTTGAGGAGGTCACAGCTCACAGGTTCTTCTTCCAGCCCCAGATTTCTCTTTTTATATTATTATTATTATTTCCCCCCTTATCCCCCTCTTCAATGGGATAAATTCAGCCTGTTGTAACATTTCAGCCTGGGATGGCTGGAGGAGTGAGGGGGGAGAAGGGGGAGATGGGATGGAGGAGAGTAGGGAATGGACTTGCCCTGCATAGCAATGAATGAACCTCTGAAGTTTGGGAGAAAGCAGGTTCCCAACTGTGCTTCTAGGAGCTCACACGGATGAGAAATCTCATGGGTGCTGCACTTGGGCAGGGAGCTTCATCCCTGGTATAGCAGGTCCCTGGAGGGGATGGGGACGGCATCAGGGCAGAGATAAGGACAGCTCAGGGGCTCCCTGCCCCTTCTACACTGATTTTTATGGGGTTTATAGCTGAGGGGATGGAGGTACCAGAGCAAACCCCACACAGGCTGCACCGGGCCCAGGGCTGGACCCTGATGTCTTTGCCGGGATGGATGAGGCTGGATGTAAACACCTTCCTGCAGGCTCACAGGGGCTCTGGGAAAGAGGGTTTTGAAAACACAGAGGGGACAAAGCCCCCGTTCTGCTTTTCCAGCAGTGCCCTGGGACTGGTGGCAAAGCCTGGTGGGACCTGAGGATGGCTTGGATGGCTCACAGCATCCTGGTGGGGGAAGCTGAGGCAGGGCAAGGCAGTTGTGCAGTGGATCCTGATTACCTGGGCAGCACTTTTGGAGGACGCTTGCACCCTCATGTTTTCCATCATGTTTTTGGGCCATGCACACCGTGGCACGGAGGATCCCATTCAGCAAAGCTCAGTTGGCCCCCAGGGCCGGGTCAGTCTGGTGCCAGTGGCTGTTCCTGGCGGCAGGGCTGGCACAATGCACGGGCAGGTCAGGGCTTGCCCTGCTGGGGGAGTGCCCGCGGCACCCGGGCCACTGTGGCGTGCTGCCCTTCCTCCTCCTTCTCCTCATCATCATCGCTGTCACCTCCCCAAGTGTGTGCCCGCATAGGGGGCTGCAGCCCCACAGTGCTCCTGCCCCTCCAGCCCAGCCCATCCCATGCCACACAAGGCAGCCCCCATGGGCAGGGGGTCACATCCAGCCCTGTGGTGCAAGGGCGGAGCTGCCGGGGCAGTGCCAGTATCACCTCCTCCATTGGGAATGCACATCATGCCGAGCTGGAAACTTGGCCCGTTTGCAAACAGGCACCGGGGCCACTGGGAGCTCTTCACAAAGGCTGGTTTCAGGTGATTGACTGCCAGGTTTGGAGCGCTGGGACCAGCCCATGGTCTCAGCATAGAGAAATTCGCTTTAGGAATACAAAGCAAACATCCTCCTTTGGTGTTAGACTCAAGGGAATGGGCCCTAAACCCTCCCCAAGGTGCAAGCAGGGGCAGGCTGCACCCTGCAGACACAGCTCACCCATGGGTGCTGCTGAGGGCAGCAAAGGCAGCATGAGGCTGAGCATCCCTCATCTGGAGAATGGCCCAAATGGCAATGGGAGCATAAATATCCCACCCCAAATATCCAAAGGTTATGGATGGGCCTAGCCAGGCTGAGCAGTGTGGGGATGCTGGGTGTGAATCCCATGGGATGCTCCCATTCTGTGCATGGAGAGAGCTGGCACAGGCAGTGGGGAGGCTCAGGGGCACTACAAGAGGCGGGTGTTGACCTAGAAATGGGAAAGAATTTGGCCTGGCATCGTGCTGGAGGGCAGTGTGCCAGCCTGGAAGCACGGCTTCACGATGGAATGGCACTCCTTTCTCCTGTGCCTGGCTGCAGGCGACTGCCTTCTGTCCTGGGAGCTCCGTGGGCATTCTGACTGGTGTCGAGGGGTGGGACGCTCATGCTGAGCATTGCTGGGGAGTTGTTTCTGTTCCCACCCAGCACAGGGTCAGTGGCGATTCTCAACTGAGGAATCACAGAATCATGGAATAGTTTGGGTTGGAAAGCTCAAAGGTCATCTAGTCCAACCCCTCTGCAATGAGCAGGGGCATGGAGGGGGGGGTGCAGACCTGCTGGGGGGAGCAATGCTCCATCCTGGCAATGTTTGGTTATGAGACACATTAACAAGCA